GGCCAACTCATTACGTCTTTGAGTTCCTGCATGGGTGAGCATAGTGGGGACCAACCAAACGACCTACGTAGGATATATCTTACGTACCTAAATCGGTATTTGAAGGATAACTACACTCAATGAATAACGACATTTATTATACCCAAACACTTGCCGTCTCGCTGCAAAATTATTTACCCAATGTTTTTAACTGTATGTGAGCAATCCTGTAGACGCATCAGCGATTGACAATGCAGAGTCATTGAACATTCTTAGCTCAAGAAAATGTAATAACCTTAGAAAACACTGACAAACTCCCATTAATTTCTCACATTCTTATCTGATGTTCCTCACATAAAGTTATACGCATGTGGTCACAAATCAATTTATTACATTCTTGAAGCAGTGGTGGACAAGTGCGTTCTCTCCCATTTCACATCTTCCTATCTCTTTCCTTATGTTTTATACTTTCACTGCTATTGTTACAGTTTGATAAATTTCATTTGTTTATTGGATTTATCAAACAGTGATGCAGTATTATTTACTAAATAACGCTTTGGAAATAATTTACTGCCTAAATTTGTATCAGAGTAATACCACAAATTTGAGATATTGCGAAAATTGTTCCAATTCTCCCTCAATATCCGTGAGATGTGGTGTTATTTCAATAAGAACGAAGATAATAAATTCCGTCCAAAATATTATCCAGCAAATAGCAAATTTTCACCGTGATGCACCCAAAAGAAAAACCGAAGCCTGAATTATATTATAACACTGCCAAATTTTACTCCTACAATAAAAATCAGATCATTTATCTTGTAAGTAAAATTCATCATTAGAAGTTCAGCGGGAAAACAAGTATAATCAGAAAATGGTACAAAAAATTAAACACCAGCAAAAGCTTTATGAGTGCATTAGCGTCGCCACATTTCAAACAAATATAGATGTCAAAAACCACACCAACATAACCAGTTGAAAAGTCATTAGCCGGGCATAAGCCCAGATAAAGAGAGAAGGTTGGGCGTAGGGCTTGCAGCCCCACCCCACAAAACCAATCCAACCGCTAAACAAAGTTCAAAGAGCAAATAAAATATACAAAATAAGAATAAACTCATTCCTCGCTACAATCAGAGGGACGAAATGATGCCGGTTGGTGAAAGATTTCAAGAAGCCAGTGGACCGATGAGTCTTCTCTCTCTCTCGATGAAAGCGAAAGTGAACAAGAGGATATGGAATGTCTGCACTATGCCTGAAACCTATAAGGCAGCCCAGATTGCAAAGCAGATGAGAAGGTATGCAGTGGAAGTGCTTGGAATCTGCAAGGAATCTGCAGATGGAATGGAAACGGACTCTCCAAACTGTCAACTGGAGAATCAATAATCTACTTACTGTCACCCAAGTGACAAACACGAGAACAGCACACTGAGTTTTCGAGTGGATATCATGCTGTCCCACCCTCAAGAGCATCGATGGCTCTCTCTCATGCAGACAAAAGACACTTCTACGATACACTTGCAACTGAAGAGGAGTAGGCTGTAGGTAGGAAGATAGAGACCAGCCAACATTATATCAAATAACCAGGTTGCATTCCCCTTTGCATTCCACCTAGTTGTCCTTCTCAGTGTATGCCATACTCCATCCATCTCCACTTCCATACAGTGCATATTTATTGACTGATAGGTTCTTGGTTGGTTCGTCGCCAGTCAGTCGGAGTTCCTTGTTGCTTATTCTTATTATTCTGGTCATCTGGTCTTCAGTATCGAGCGAGCGTAGGCAGAGGTTGATGAATATCTGTAGTTTGTTGGAAATCTATTTCGTGATGCGCCAAGTCTCTGAGCCATTCAGAAGCACTGACTTGACTGAATTGGTGTTGAAAATCCGGATCTTGTTCACGCTTTATGCTGAGTGCAGTAGATCTCCACACTCGTTTCAGGTTAGTGAACGTCTGTCTTGCAGGCTTTCCGATCCTGGCTTTGACGTCCTCGTCTGTGCGCATGTAGTTGAAACGATGCTGCCCTGTGTAGGTAGTTAGGTGAAGGAGACTACTTCCTTTAGGTTTCTCCCGTTGATGGTGATTGGAGCTTGTTGTTATTATTGGTTGGGTATCTTCATCACCTCCGTCTTCTCTACGTTCACCTGAAGTGCCGTCTTCGCTACCCTGCCCTGCCTCTTCTGTCAACTTGTTAGTTTTCGCCTGTAGATATTCAACTTTGTGTGACATTAGACACAGGTCACCGTTGGCGAAATCCAAATCTTCCAGGTTCCTCTCTCCGGTCCGGCCAGCGCACCCCCCTCTTCTCGCTCTTCACTGTTTGTTGCATGATCGAGTCCACTACAGTCAGGAATATCAATGGTAATAGTAAACAGCCTTGTTTTACTCCTGTCTTCAAAAGCGTCACTGAGCTTCCCATTGTGAATCACTCGGCATGTAGCATGTAGCATCATATAACATGTAGCTATTGAAAGAGGTTGATAAATATTTGTGGCACTAAAACCGTAGTGTTGAAGCAGCTGCCTGCCAAATTACTTCTCGGTCGACAGCTTGATCGAATGCCTTTTCAAAGTTGATGGAGTTGAGGTAGAGTTGAGTTGACTGCCATTCTACGCTCTGTTCCATGATGATGCGAAGCGTTGCAATTTGGTCCGCACATGATTTGTTCTTCCTTCAGCCAGCCAGCCAGGCAGCCAGCCAGCCTGTTCGGGTTGTATTTTGAATCCAGCGCATTGTTTAGTCTCTCCGAAATGATGTGGCATAACCTTTTGATTCGGGTGGACAGCAGCATGATTCCGTGCCACTCTCGCAAAGACTTAGGTCGCCCCTCTTCAGAAGTTTGACAAAGTAGCCCTTCGCTAAATCAATCACTAGGTACCTTTCCTTCCTTCCTTCCTTCCTTCCTTCCAGACTTTCTGCAATGGTGATGTGAGCATGTCCGCTGTTGTCTCTGCATCTGCTCTCAGTGCTTCTGGCTGGATTCCATCTGGTCCTGCTGCTTTTCCGATTTTCAGTAGCTTTATGGCATTCAGGACTTCACTTCTGCCTTTGTCGGAGGGCATGTGTTCACTGGTAGTTCTGTGGCTGGGCTGCATGTGGTATTTGTGGACGAGTTGTAGGTGGTGGTTGATTCAAGGGTTTTCTGAATTGGTCAGCCCATCGTTTCCTTCGTTGCTCCTCTTTGGTAACTAGCTTTCCTTCACTATCTTTCATTGGTTTCGTCTGAGTTGATCTCTTCCCTACCAGATAGCAACCTGGTTATTTGATATAATGTTGGCTGGTCTCTATCTCTCCTACCTACAGCCTACTCCTCTTCAGTTGCAAGTGTATCGTAGAAGTGTCTTTTGTCTTTACGCGCACTCTTATTCACTTCGTTGTCCAGTGTAGTGTTTTATCAGTTGTGTTCACTTCCTCTTCTCGTCGTTCATCTTTGCACTGCTTCATCTGCTTCACCATCCTCCTCCCCCTGTCCTATCAGCTTCCATGTGTCCATCGAGATCCATTCCTTGTCTCGCCTCATCTCGTCTTGCTGCTTCCTCCTTCGTAACACGGTTATCAAGGCTTCCTTCCACGTCTCCTCCGAGGAGTCTTAGTGTTCTTCCACGCAGGTTCGCACAGCAATGTTGCCTAATGTCTCCCACTTTTCCTGATAGTTGACTGGTGTGAAGATGTCCTTTGTAGCTTCGTGCTTGAGTTCAGTTTCTGTTCTGGGTGCTGAACGTGAACTGTGGTCTATCACCAACTTCTTTCAAGGCTTTCAACTTGATTTTGAAAGTGGGTTCTTTGCACTAGATAGTGCTTGGTGTAAACCTACATCTGCTCCTCTTCGTGATCTCATCTTGTGTCCAGTAGGTTGACTGTGTCTCCACTTTCTTCAGATTGAAATGAATTCGATCTGACCTTTAGTGCAGTGTGTCCATCTGGTGAAATCAAATCCATGTCCCTTTGTGGATATCCTTGTGCTTGAACACACCGCCTGACTCCAATCACCAAATCGTTGAATGCACAGAATTCTGCAAACAATTCTCCATTCTTGTTCATCACCTCACCGAGCACTTCTCGACCCATGGTCACTTCTCTTCCTGTGTTGTCCGCTCCCAGTTTGGCATTCATATCACCCCACCCCTTCGAATTTTGATGTGGCCAACTGGGGTGTGGTCTTGTCCAGAGTTGGTTGTAGTTGTCTGTAGAATTCCTCTCCTCCTCCTCCTCCTCCTTCTCTTCATCTACATTATTTGTAGATGCGTAGCACTGTGTGATTGCGACTTTCCTTCCTTCTCACTTGAATCCATCTTGCTGTCATGATGCTGATCCTGGAGGAGGAGATTGGTTCCCACTGCATGAGAGAGAGCCATCGATGCTCTTGAGGGTGGGACAGCATGATATCCACTCGAAAACTCAGTGTGCTGTTCTCGTGTTTGTCACTTGGGTGACAGTATCGGAGTAGATTATTGATTCTCCAGTTGACAGTTTGGAGAGTCCGTTTCCATTCCATCTGCAGATTCCTTGCAGATTCCAAGCACTTCCACTGCATACCTTCTCATCTGCTTTGCAATCTGGGCTGCCTTATAGGTTTCAGGCATAGTGCAGACATTCCATATCCTCTTGTTCACTTTCGCTTTCATCGAGAGAGAGAGAAGACTCATCGGTCCACTGGCTTCTTGAAATCTTTCACCAACCGGCATCATTTCGTCCCTCTGATTGTAGCGAGGAATGAGTTTATTCTTATTTTGTATATTTTATTTGCTCTTTGAACTTTGTTTAGCGGTTGGATTGGTTTTGTGGGGTGGGGCTGCAAGCCCTACGCCCAACCTTCTCTCTTTATCTGGGCTTATGCTCGGCTAGTTACTAGTTCGCTGGTTAACCTTTTGATTTAGTGTAGATTACTGGTTTAGTTATATTTTTTTTCGATTTTTAAAGATTAGGGTTTCTTAGTTTTCGTGCGAAATTTTCGCTCCATATTTTCATTTTGATAAATAAGTATTTTGTGAATAAAGTTGATTGAGTCGAATATTTTTTTTCATTTCAGCAATTTCGCGTCTTGGAATTATTTCGACCACATAATGTACACAGTTTTTGCACGTTAACAGCGAATTCATCATTCGGCTGACAATGGGGTTTGGTAAATTTGCATATATATGAAATGTTTGACGGATAGAAACCTTCGTGCACAATGAATCTGCATTGAACCACACTGTAAAATTACTTAGAATGTTTTCTTAACTTACATCTACAAGATTCAAGAAGGAATCCTTCATGGGGTGTCGTATGACTTTATGTATAGGTTCTAACTTTTTTAAGCTAACGAGTGACCTTGTGATGATAGGCTTTAATCATGAAGAGCTCTGATTAACGTACCTTCGGCAGACTATATATGTATAATGCACGCAAAGCCGTCACGGTTTTAGATCATTTTACGCAGAGTCGTCAGTCAGTTTCTTTTTTATCAGCTTTCTGAGTGTAGTTGTGATTCGTTTTTTGTTGGATCAATCTTATCTTCACCTCTATTTTCCTGCTTGAATCTCAAGTCGTAAGTAAGAATCAAATTATCGTAATAATACAATCTTCTCCGTTGATCAACACATCTGAGCCTTTATCTGGCCGTGGTTCCACCAAGTTTTCATGCATTATTGATGTTTCATATTACCATGTAACGCACTTAAGACAAATTTTCCAATTGTGCTTTTGGTGAAATAAGGTATTGGTTCGTGGTGAACTTAGATAGAAGACGGCACCTTTTACTATAATTCATCGGATGCAAATCCTCGCATAATCTGTTTAAAGAAGGCTGGACAAGGAAGTTAAATACACCTTTTTGGATTTATTTTTTATATCTTTGACATTTTAATTTTGATTATTTTCCTAAAGAAGCTCGTACCAGACTTTTGTGCGGAACGTTGGAAGTTGATTTCAAACACACTGACTTAAACAAATGCAATCTTTATCTAATTTTATGCAAACACTTTGAATGAACTCATGCAAATCGCTAACCACTTAAATTTTGAACATCTGGGTTAAAGCCAACGTAAACTAATTTTTAGATGTTTGAAGGAATCCGTAATTGATTGATTATTTCCTAATATCTGTTGCACTTATATGATAACATTATTAAATCTATTTCGTCAGAGTGAAAGAAATGTTGCATAACCTTGTCATATGTGAACAGGAACAACGAGTTTTAGGTTAAGTCTACAGTAACATATTAGTAGATCGTCAGCAGCTTTATCCTAAACAGCAGAGATATGATAAGATGTCAGAATTCATATTTCGAGTTTATATTTTTGATTTCTTCTGGCTGTCGGTTAACTCATATAGTTCCGGGAAAAATGTGCCAAAGGCAGATGAATAAATAAAAACTTTCTTTACTGTTGTTTTTGTCTTTTAATGCTGTACACTTGTAATTATTTCCTTAACAGTGAAGTTTTTAAATGAATAACAAAACTGAATTGTGCCATGATCTTAGTGTTCGATTTGCACATTAGAGATGATTTAAAATTACAGAGTAATGCGAAAATTGTCCAACAATGTAAAGAATGAACGTTGTCTGGCTTGTCGATAAATGCGAGAAAAACGAAGACTAAGGTGGTTGTGAGGGCAATAACATTTCATCAAATAATTATGAACGATGAGTACTTCAGATGTTTTGTAGGGTCCTGGCAAAATAAGAGACTGAAAAAACTACTTCGGCTCGAAACGATGAACTGAGATCGCTTTTGACGTGTAGAAGTTACAAAACCACAGTTCTTTCAGACTATTTTTAAAACAGACAATGGTCGAACTACAGTGACATAACTAACTAGGTGTCCCATTATCAAACTCTTGAATGACTTGCACAATTCTATGCGACTGCAAAAGCAAGTAAACATATCAGCGCATCACAGTGACCTTGTGGTGCCACGTTATTAGTTAGGAAGGTCTAAATAAGCATGCAGTGAAGTGCTTTTAAACACCTGGTTGCTAGTGTTCAGTGGTTTTCATAGCTTAATGGGTTTCATTGTGATCACGTGACTCATGTCTTATTCTTTTCTTCCCACTTGCAATATATGCCAGTAAATTGGCTGACTAATAACGACGCATTTGTAATCGTCGAGAGTACTGACTTTGTGTGGATTTCGTTTTCTAAAGTGACATAAAAATAGCCGACCAGATGTTTTAAACTGTATGAGTACGTGAAACAAATTCAATCATTATTGTTCATCCAGCTAAAATGAAATAAACATTTGTAGTAATTATATTTATAGTTTCATCTTGTTGAGGTCAGTATTAAAAATTAGAGGGTAACTGAGAGATGCAGAACATAACTTTCCAATAACTTTAGGATACACCAAGCTTCAAAATAGCTTGCCAATGGAATAAGTTTAGCTATGTGGCGAAAATTAGTGAAGGAAGAACAAGTAAACTATTTCCTTTCACATTCGACGGGTTTGCATCACAAATCGAAACTCGTCTCATAAATGATTTAACTTTTTGCTTGAAAAATTTGAAGATAACAATCCTGCGGCAAAACTAGTACGGCGTAAGGCATTTCGAGTTTGTGAATTATCAGAATTGACTAGTAAGACGTTTTTCGAAAATAAAGCCTATATCCCTAATAATATCTAGTCTCAGTCATATGTTTCCTACTATTTATTTCCATAAACTCGGAAATTCAGACTAAGAATTATTCGGACAATGTTTTGCTTATGCTCTTAAATGTTGACAAACATGGTAAAGCCACATTGCTTGCGGGTTATTTTCGTTTCTTACCACTTAAATTTATAAAACAAATAAATGATAGAAGCAGTACGTGAAAATACTGAAGAATTTCAAAGGATTGTTACACAGGAAGGCGACTACTTTTTACCACTTTCTAATGCTTCATTACTGATGTTACACTGTAGCCGAATAACATAAGTTCACTTTGAAAATGTGTTGCTCAGTTGTTGATCAAACACTTAAATCTTTCCCGGAGCATGCATTACTTCAGTTTATCAATAAATTACTTTGAAGTTTACCAGTTGTGTAAATGGTGTCACGTCTATGAAGACGTTTTGCTTTCTTGGTAAAAAAAATCTAAAATATAAAGACGTTCAAATGAGTGAAACAGTAGTTCTTGAATATTGTTTTGGTGACTCAAATCCGATGAACATAAGTAAAGTACCAGATGAAAGATATCATGATCGAATGTACCATAAAACTCTGTTTCTTTTTAATAAAATTCGCTTGGTGATAGCTTGCAGAACAATCCAGAAAGCGCAGGTTTTCTTTTCAGAGACTTGGCTGACTGAACGTACATTGTAGTAACAGTCTTGCAACTGAGTTTGTAGTTTCTAACTATTGGTTTTTGATAAGAGACAAAGTGCCTATACTATCACTCACTTGAATGAAAGTCCAGACGACGAATCTCAGAGAAGGAAAACCCCTTTTCATTGACTTCTGCTCTAGACATTTTATGCACCAAATTGTAGTTTGGTGAATCCTGAAAATTTACCAGGCCACGTTACAAGAGCCAATATTCTGGCGGAATTTCATCAAATGACTTTACTACAGCAAAGAGAGATAGCGTTTTAAATTGGAAACGTTGAATTTCTTGCTATGCAGAGAGTATGGGAGAGCCTCCTCCATTTTTGCACTCATTATCGCATATTTTGGCTGATCATAAAACGTTCGATAAAACCGTTTCTGCTATTCCAGCCTTCTTATGATTTACCTGCAAAGTTTATTGGTCCATTGCATCTATTTACGTAAGCAGCCCAATGTCTATTCCCTTCAACCCTATCAAGTCTGTCTATGCAGAGAAAAATGTAATTTTCTTCTCATTATCGCACTTGGAAATTTCAAAAAACCTTAACAAAAACCTATACCAGAATTCTATCTCACATCATCACAAACGTTCCTGAGTGTTTGAATTATAATGCTTTTAATTCAATTTAGAATATTTAATGTACGGAATCTCCATTTTCAGTGTTTAACTTTGGAGTCACCTTTCTCAGACTTTTAAGGAAGTCACTATTATCTTAGGCTAGCACTTTTCACCTCAGTCATTTTTATTGTCTATCTTTATCATTCAGTGTCGATCAGACAAACACTCGACTTTTTCTTAAAAATGTATCTTAGGAATTGAAACAATAATTCTTATAAATGACTCAGTGAAAGCTTGAGCCGGAAACCTGTTCTTGTTTTCATATTTTATCTTGCTTTTATTGTTTTCATGGGTTATCAAATTGTTTTGTACTTCATCTCTGGGATAAACAGTGATTAGTTCACTATCAAAAAAAAAACACCTAAAATAAGTGAATAACAGGACATTTTTTCGCTTCTTGCATGTGGGCATAAATGTCTACATCTCACCATGTGAATCGGTACAGGTGATCAATGAAGGTGTTAATGTAAGCTAGAGACTTTGAAACTGTGACTGAATATTGGTATGGGCAACAGGATGCTGATCGCTTTTACATAACCACGAAAATTTCAGCAATTTATGTGGCTTCCAAATTTGTTTTGATGTTGGTGAATTGAGACCAACTGATTTCATAGAGAATATACTTTTAAAGATTCATCATTCAAGCAATGAAACGTCGGTGGGATTCCAACTCGAATTCTTCGGTTGTGAATGGTCGGAGCATTTTCCATGTACTTGCTTATTCACAATGGTAAACACAGTAAATCCACCTTAGTTTGAAATACAGTTAGGTTGCCTTTGTCTATCTGGTTACTTATATGTATTTTAACGTCATACTGGTAAGCCGTAAATAAATAAATGTTAGTTGACTCAAGTATTTGAACACTTAATCCGTTTTTAGGTTAACCAAGTAGCTTGAAATAGTATAAAGTCCAATAAAGTTTACATTTCTAGTTCATAAGACCAAGAATGATACGTTTTCTACAACTCTATTTAATTGCTAATTGAAATGGTCAAAGTGGTAAACGTATGATGGTGATTTATGTATTTTTGAGGTGCATTATTTCAGTATACTCACTTTTCAATAGTGACTGTAGACAAACGAATTTTATTAGTATGGATACTGAGATCAGTTTAAAATATTAATTATACTATTACTTAGAAGATTAGAAACCACCACTCTTAAAGGTAAAAGGGTACTAAAGTAATACCATTAGTGATACTTTAATATTTCTAGCAACAAGACTAGGTATATGTAACTTGGAAATGAGGACGTTAAATGTTCTGACGTTTCCTTCAAAAAAGATTTTGAGTCATAGCTTGTGGATTCTTTCATTTCGATATTAATATTTATTAAGATAGATTCCAGATCTTAAGGAATGCAGTTATCAAAATGTTATTCTTAATGTATGATCTAAACTTAGCGTATTTTTAGTTCATGTCAGAATGTCAGATGGTTTATAAAGCTTTGAGAAAAACGTTTTATGAAGGCAGAAAAAATGGTTTTCGTATTTGATAGATCCATTCAAACGAATAAGCATTCATGAACATCTGGTAGAAATTGTGAATTATTCAAAGACAGTTTCCTGTCACAGACCAGATTTTAACGAATGTAGATAAATAATGTGAAGTTAAAAGTAGGGTGGAAGGTAAGAAGTAAAAACAAGTGAATTGACTAAAATTATTATGCAAAATGATGTGGTTGTACCTACCTTTCCATAATACTTCATTATAGTCTGGAGCAACAATTTTTCAGAGTGTAACCAACTACGTTCCTTTTGAGCACTGTTCTTTCTCAGATCGTCTGATAATTTTTACTGAGGCTCAGAACTATGAATTTCTCACAAATGTAGACTTTAATTTAAATTTTTAGGAAGGCTTCTGGGAAAACAGTTTTAATCACTAAAACGGGAATGCGATGATAATTGTAAGTATTTCACCGTCCACGTTTTGAACTTATAAAAGGCATACAAACGAGGTTAACTGTACAACATAAACAGCTTTCGATGCTGTCATAATACTTTTACGTTCAATGGAGCTCATGAGATCGATTCTATGTAATTCATACATTTCAGAACCACTTCATTTGTTTTACTACCGTCAATGAAATCATATCTTTTTAATTCTCAGCTAACATCGTCCAAAGGTTTTCAACGAACCTATTTTACTATGAATGTTTCCTTTGGATATTCCGAATAACTCAGAAAAACGCTTTTTGTAAAAATTCGGCATTATGTATGAGTTGCATTTCATATTAGAACCTCAGTTTAAAGCAAACTGAATAAAACTTGCAAATTACAGTAGGAAATACGTTTGAAGTTTGTTTTTTATGTACTTAAAATGTATGTATACAAAACTAGTCAAAAATGACTTGTCACTTTCACATTTGTACTGACATTGTTAAAAATTCATATTTACTGTTAGTTGAAAGAATTTATTCAGGAAATAATATCTGTATTCCATATCAACTGAATAGCATTTATGATACCAGGAAATGTGAAAATGTTTTTTTACTGAGGTAGGAGTAGAAAGTTCCTAAAATATATTTGCTAAAAAGAGCGAACCCATAGTTAA